CAAACAGTTGACCGCATTGATCTGCTGCCTGGCCTTTATAAATTCTAGATATGAGCACAGGAAGTTTATGTTCTGCACCTCCCTTTATACTCAATCCCAGCCCTCCAACTTTTTGTCTTGTGATTTGCACCATTCTTTCCTTAGCATCTAATGGTGGCTTATTATGATTTGCTGCCTGCTGAAAATCAGTATTCTTCTTTATGAACCATATAAAATTAATGATAGTAAGATATCATTAATATTAGACTTTACCTCTAAATCTTCCCTCTGAAGTTTTAAAACTTCCATGGACAGGTGTAAGCGCATTGGTACTGGTTTACTTTTTCCGTCACTGACACTCACCATTCCTGTCCTTACCTTTTTGATGTAAATGAAAATTAAACTGGGTTCCCATTTTGATTCATCTTTAAATTAAATATGCAATCCTACTTCTGATTAAATTACAAATATATCTGCGTATTGATTATTCCATTCTAAGAAAGATATACTTGAGGAGTTCATTCAATATTAAAAACTGTTTCTACTTAAGTATAAAATTATTGATTTTTGCGTATTTAAATATTCAAATAATTGAGGATTCATTTAAATTAAAATATCGTTTATTTGAAAATTGTTCAATAACAATTCACGTTTATTTTTACAATATCCTAGGACATAGTATGAGATAAATAGTTTTTTAAGTTACAAAATCTAATTTTCTACGATCTGTTTGTCGTTATATCATATTCATTTTATTACATTCAGCAAAATTGTCTTAAAAATAGAAAGACTTAAATACAGACTAATGAAATACATGGATGTTAGATATTAAAAAAAGTGATCACAATTAAGTTCTTACCTTCAGCTTCTGATCAATCTTCTCCTCGATCAGACTACTCATTTTTGTTGCGTTGATTCTCATTATTTAATACAATTATTCAGCTCGTGTATGCAAGTCCCCGTATTGTTGAACAATAATCGTCGGGGTTGACGAAGTTCCGCGAGTCGTTGGTGTCACAACTAACATATTACTCGCGTACGAATCATTCGACACGACTGCGACAACCACTACTCGAATGACAAGAAACCGTGATCATATTCTTTATTATTTGAGAAAAGTACGCACTGGCGTTGCTCGCGGTACGTTTTTTGCAGGCGAGACACGCGATTTTTTTACACCAGACACGTTCATTGAACGTTTTTACAGTTCCAATCGGTACATCGTGACTTTCTGATGCATTCGCACGGACGAAAAATCCGTAAACCGTGCAAACCGGGACGCAGAAAAATTGGAGTATGCTAAAAGTAGCTAAAAGCCCGCGGCCGAGGCGCATCGATTTACTTAACGCGCTGCGCATCAATAGGGTACCTTGTTCGCTCAAGTCGCGGGACATATAAATTTGAAGCTATAGGATAAGAGTACCTATCGTAAAACAC